CATATATAGTCACTGGACACTTTCAAAGAACTGCTATTATCTTCAGGAAGCTTTTTTTTTTTTTTTTTTTTTTTTTTTTTTTTTTTTGTGTGTGTGTGTGTGTGTGTGTGTGTGTGTGTGTGTGTGTGTGTGTGTGTGTGTGTGTGTGTGTGTGTGTGCGCGTGTATGCGCACGTGTGCACGTGTGTACATGTACTTCTAAATGTGCTGAGTCAGGATCTGGCAGCTGTTAAAATGACATATTATACCATTACTCACTTCCCCTACTGCCTGTCAACACAATGGGGTCCAATGCTTTCTTTCCCACTATCCTTCCTACCTACCTACCTATCTTTCTTTCTGTCTGTCTCCTTCTTTCTCCTTTCTTCTTCTTTCTCCTTCTTTCTCTTTATTTCTCTTTCTTTCTCCTTCTTTCTTTCTTTCTTTTTTTCTTCTGGTATCATGGGCAACTATCACTAGATCTATCACTTGGGAAGAAAAGAGGGCCAGATTTGCCAAGGAGTCAGATATTTCTTACCGCTAGGCATGATGAACAAGGACTACTGAAATGGCGTTCCCACAATGCACCACTGGCTCCTTGATTTTTTTTATATTGCGCACACTGACCATGGAGACACATTCTCTCACATGTGGGCCTACCAGCTTTCTCTGGCTTGATTTGAAGCCGCTAGAATTTACGCGTATTAGTACTTTGGAAACATTGGCTTGTAAGACGTATAAATATATTGCTGAAGAAGTCATAGGGTTATTAAAAAGAATGAGGTAAATATACGAATTTGTGTGATGAATAACTGACTGATTGACTTGATTGACTGACTTCCTGACTTGACTGGCTTACTGACTGTTGACTGATTTAGTGACTGACTTACTGACTGACTTGACTGACTGACTTGACTTACTGACTTTACTGACTTAAAGTTAGATTTCTTCACTGAAGAGGACCCTGACAAATCTAGAAGTAGTGCTCGGAAACGATGTCTAGAGCAGCTGATGCCTTCCCATCAGAAATCCATTACAGAATTTACGCACTCCATTGCAACCATTGACTTCGGTACCAGAACCTCTACCATCCAACTCAGCCCAGTAGGACCTCAGCATAACTCTCCACTCTCTTCATAATCATCGACAAACACCAGCACCCACAATTTAAGGTAAGAAATACAATTATTTCCACTGCATTTATAGTCTTAAGCAGTAAAAAAACATAATACATCACCACAATGAACAACAATTACATATTCACTTTTATTTTTGTAAGGTCTGGAGGTCTAAAAAAAAAGCTGTTTGACTTTTTTGGGTCTCTCAGGAACATAACCCTATTTTTCCCATAAGTTCTTCAGTTTATCTCACATGCCATTTTCAGGAACGTAACTACCGTGTAATATAAAGGTCTACTGTATATTGACATATCACATATCTATCTCTATATTCCTCAATAAAACGACAATAAAGCACACAGTGTACAAGAAAGTGACCATAATAATGGCCACATACTTTGCATTTGATTTGATCATCAACTGTGCATTTGCAAATCTGCCAGAAGTAACTTGTAACCTGGCTACTACAACATCAGTCTATTCACATTGCAAGATGCTACATAACTGTATTTATCTATGTTTATGCTATCATATTGGATAACATATCTACTCAGGCTTCTAACTACAAAAATTTTATTGCATTATTTCTAATGCTAGACACAGACATACCAAAGGTATACCCTCAGGAAAATCATCAAAAATCGAATATTTCTACTACTTTGAGCCCAATTTCAAGCTACTTCCAGTCCAGTTTGCTTTTCCCATCATGCACCATGTGGGGCAGGATCTTTTTTATACCATGCCTACTCACTGCACAGACCCACATTTTCTCGTCTGGGCCACAATTTAATGCTCACAGCTTATCTGAGGAAGGTGAGCTCAAAACAGATACATGTAAGTGGCACTGGTGTTGATAATATAGATCTATGAAAGACAGTGAAAGGGTTAATATATGAAGGCCTCTATTTGAGATACCCTTCAAGAACATCTCTCAAGGCTATAACTTTAATATCTGAAAGGCTACTTACCGCATTTTATGTCACAAAAATATCTTATTTCTGAGATGGACTGGAAACGGATACATACAGTGGACCCCCGGTTAACGATATTTTTTCACTCCAGAAGTATGTTCAGGTGCCAGTACTGACCGAATTTGTTCCCATAAGAAATATTGTGAAGTAGATTAGTCCATTTCAGACCCCCAAACATACACGTACAAACGCACTAACATAAATACACTTACATAATTGGTCGCATTCGGAGGTAATCGTTATGCGGGGGTCCACTGTATATGGGTTTTAATAGAAAGAGATACAATATGGTATAAATTACAGAAGTTGCTTGCTTCTCAGAAGTATATACAGTGGACCCCCGGTTAACGAACTTTTTTCATTCCAGTAGTATGTTCAGGTGCCAGTACTGACCGAATTTTTTCCCTTATATAAGGAATATTGTGAAGTAGATTAGTCCATTTCAGACCCCCAAACATACACGTACAAACGCACTTACATAAATACACTTACATAATTGGTCGCATTTGGAGGTGATCGTTAAGCGGGGGTCCACTGTACTTGAGGAAAGTACAGTGGACCCCCAACTTACAATATTAATCCATTCCAGAGAGCACATCGTAAGACGAAATTATCGTAAGCTGAATTAATTTTCCCCATAAGAAATAATGGAAATCAAATTAATCCATTCAAGACTCCCAAAAGTATGAAAAAAAAAATTTTACCACGTGAAATATACATTTTCCTACACACAAAAAGAAGGATTATTTTTTTTATTAACACACTGGCCGATTCCCACCAAGGCAGGGTGGCCCGAAAAAGAAAAACTTTCACCATCATTCACTCCATCACTGTCTTGCCAGAAGGGTGTTTTACACTACAGTTTTTAAACTGCAACATTAATGCCCCTCCTTCAGATTGCAGGCACTGTACTTCCCATCTCCAGAACTCAAGTCCGGCCTGCCGGTTTCCCTGAACCCCTTCATAAATGTTACTTTGCTCACACTCCAACAGCACGTAAAGTATTAAAAACCATTTGTCTCCATTCACTCCTATCAAACATGCTCACGCATGCCCGCTGGAAGTCCAAGCCCCTCGCACACAAAACTTAACATAAGAACATAAGAACATAAGAAAGGAGGAACACTGCAGCTGGCCTGTTGGCCCATACTAGGCAGGTCCTTTACAATTCATCCCACTGACAAACATTTGACCAACCCAATTTTCAATGCCACCCAAGAAACAAGCTCCGATGTGCAAGTCCCTCTCAAATCCAACCCCTCCCACTCATGTACTTATCCAACCTAAATTTGAAACTACCCAAAGTCCTAGCCTCAATAACCCAACTAGGTAGACTGTTCCACTCATCAACTACCCTATTTCCAAACCAATACTTTCCTATGTCCTTTCTAAATCTAAACTTATCTAATTTAAATCCATTACTGCGGGTTCTCTCTTAGAGAGATATCCTCAAGACCTTGTTAATATCCCCTTTATTAATACCTATCTTCCACTTATACACTTCGATCAGGTCTCCCCTCATTCTTCGAAACTTCCATTACCCCCTCCCTCCAACTTTTCCTAGGCCAACCCCTACCCCATCTTCCTTCTTCTACAGACTGATACACTCTTGAAGTCATTCTGTTCCACTCCATTCTCTCTACATGTCCGAACCACCTCAACAACCCTTCCTCAGCCCTCTGGACAACAGTTTTGGCAATCCCGCACCTCCTCCTAACTTCCAAACTACGAATTCTCTGCATTATATTCACACCACACATTGCCCTCAGATATGACATCTCCACTGCCTCCAGCCTTCTCCTCACTGCAACATTCATCACCCATGCTTCACACCCATATAAGAGCACTGGTAAAACTATACTCTCATACATTCCCCTCTTTGCCTCCAAGGACAAAGTTCTTTGTCTCCACAGACTCCTAAGTGCACCGCTCACCCTTTTCCCCTCATCAATTCTTATGATTCACCTCATCTTTCATAGATCCATCCGCTGACACGTCCACTCCCAAATATTTGAATACATTCACCTCCTCCATACTCCATACATGCACAATACTTTGTGCATGTACTAGTGTACTAAATGAAAAATAAATGACACTTACCTTCATTGAAGATGTGGTGAAGAGTGATGAGACACTGTTTGTGTCCTGGGAGTGCCTTTTCCTCCTGAGAAATGTAGGTCCTGTTTGGCATTTTCTTCAAGAACAGGACTTATCACACTGTGTATGCCACTAGGATTCTTAAATCTCTCAAACCAACCTTTGCTGGCCTTTAATTCACCAATATGAGCACTAGTTCCAGGCATTTTTTCCTGTTCACCTGGGTGTTAGTTGACTGGTGTGGGTCGCATCCTGGGGGACAAGATTAAGGACCCCAATGGAAATAGTTAGGCAGTCCTCGATGACACACTGACTTTCTTGGGTTATCCCGGGTGGCTAACCCTCTGGGGTTAATTGTTTCGCAGTATTCTCGAAAAGCCCGTGGTGGCTTATTTAGCAGTTACAAGCACTAAAAACACTGGAATACAAAATTTATCAAATGTATGCATGCAACCATCCGCCCTGGCTTGTAAACAATGTCACACTAGCTCAGCTGAGGTGCTCAGGTCAGACAGATCAGATGGCCGTGTTTGGGACGAATGATGGAAAGTCGAATTTTTCAACGTAGGTCGGGGTCAAATTTTTATGCTGACGAGCATCGTAAGTCAGTTTTATCATAGGTTGAGGCCATCGTAAGTCAGGGGTCCACTGTATGTTAAAAAACATATTTCTAGTGTAAAAAATATCTATGGCAATATAGAAGTGAAGCAGCATACATTGTAAAAAGGTGCAATGATACAAGCACTGTATCTGACGGTACAGAACAGTATTTAATATTTTATTACAGAGACATGAATTATTGTAAATACTTACTGCACTAAAACTCCATCACTTACCTGCACATTCAACCAAGAACACTTGTCCAGCTCTGGGTGAAGTTACATGGGGCACAATGGCTCTTGATAAAGCCTCTTCTTCACTGTCTGAGGAAATAAGTTCAAAGACTTCAGTTATATTTATAGAT